CGGGACGCAAGGGGCTGAGAGTAGTGCATTCGGCCTGCATGGATGACAGGCCGATTACCCGTACGGTTGCTGTTACAAACATGTTGGGAAGCTGAGTCTAAGATTTTTCCTTTTTTCCCTCTCCCGATTGTGAAAGTCAACGCCCAAGAAACGTGGAGAATTCAAGCAAATGGGAATTGACAGGCTCGAATCCCGGTGGTAAGAGGTTCATGCAAGCTGAAGTCGTGTCAAAGATTAGACAAGAAGAGAAGAGAAGGGGTGATGGTTGTTGAATAATGCGTATTACTTTCTTGGGATACTGAGTCAGCCAGAAGGCTGTCTATCTACCTCCGCTAGGCATTGAAGTACTTGAAAGAAGTTGTATCTCAGGACAAGGCGCGAAACGGTCCATCGGTCATGCCGACCTGTAGCTTCTCCATGCTCTAGAGGAAGCCCTCTGTAGCTGAAAAAATTACGTTAGACATGTGCTAAGTGGCGGTAGTGACGCTACGAATAGGTGACTCGTGACACCACTAAATCCCGAAGAACCGGTGGCACTTCATGCGTCCTACTGTTACGATCAAAGCTCCGTGTACCCCATGGGGTGCAGTGTGCTCGCGTCTTTCACGAACAATGACCAGTACGAATGGCGTGCGGGGTGCTTACGAACGTAGCAGGGTCTGGCCATGGTTGGAGCTGAAAATAGAAATGGGCGGCGTGCGTATATTGCTGTCCCGATGTGCGCCTTCTGGAAGGTGGTTTAAAGTGCTAAGCCGGGTTGCACGATGTCGTGAGGCTGCGATAACCAGGCACGTAAGGCATGGGTTTATGCCAACGACCTGGAGTCGTATATGCTATCGGCCAGCTGACTGTGATATTCTTTGAGGTGATAACTTTTTGGGCTTCGGTGGCGAGAAATGGTCTGCTGCCGTTAGGTGCTGGTCGAAATGAAATCATTCACATGGTCTCGAATGTGAATGGCGCATATCTGCAGAGATTCGAGCTCGGCGGGAGCAGAGCAGGATTAGTTGTATAGCCGACGATTTGTAAAATTCTGCTGGGAAAGATTGCTGCGTAGAGAACAGCCGTGTCTGGGTAACCGCACAGAATACTCTGGGTAGGGAATGGTTACTCGAGGCCTTCGATGATTGAAGCCGGTCCTTGCCCATTTCGGTTGCGGCTCCGTTACAGTGGCAGGTGGAGAAAGCTGGAAAGAATAAGATGAAGAACATCCCAAGTGGTGGGATTAAAGCGCGCAGCCGCTCCAGCGTATCTATCGCTATATTGCGACCCTAGTAAAACGTTGCCGAGCTCCCAGCGTGAGTGTACAAGGCTTATTGTGAAAGAACTGATATCCAGGTGACGCGGCGAAGCTTGCTGATAATATGCTAACATTCGGCTTGTGCGTCTGGATATTGCGGTATACGAGGCCACTGGAGGACTTATTTTTGGTATGTGGCTGGTTGAGACAACTGGCAGGCCGGGACGAGGCAACGTGCAACGTACGTGGTGATTTTGCCGATCGGATCGATGATGGATGTCTCGTCCATGCGCTCCGATTGTGGCTAAGTAGGGCCTGCTCAAACGGCATGCTTGGCAGCGGTCTACGGTGGTGACACGGACGGCGGGGCATCATCCGTATGGGGAAAATTCATTGTAAAGACATTTGAAGGAAAGCTGCCAGCCGCAGCGCTAGGCTGTTGCGGTCGGCAAGTTTGGGAGGTAAGTGGAGTGCAGTACCTCGATAGCCGAGAAGACTCGGACACAGTGGGAGTTACGGTACTGAGTTGCGATCGATTGGTGAAGAGAACCAGAAAGACCGGAAGGCGCTGGAGAGACCGGGCGGTGGGTAGTACTCCAGCTGTGAGACAGGAGACCAGCCGTCCAACTGCGCTGAAGCCTGAACTTGTATTAAACCCCCTTTGTAGCTTCCGAGTGGTTCAGCTGGAGCGTCGCAAGAATTAAGAAGCCGGGCCGCCTGCGTGCATTTGAAGCATATCTTTCAAAGGCCACGGTTTCGTGAGAGGAACGGAAAGCAATTCCCATCGCGGACTAGGCTCCGTCATGGGCGTTTTGAGGTGGCATACCGATGGTACTTTGTCTACAGTCTACCATCGCAAAGATGAAAAGGTGAGAGGTGGAACCGAGCACGTGAAAGCCCAGGCGCCCATTGTGAAGCCGCTCCTGCCCTTGCCGTCGAAACGAATGACGTTTCTGTGCAATCTCGGAATAATTAGCGTAGCAGATCCAATGGCAGGCCCGCGAAGCCCAATGGCAGCAGACATCTGGAGCACTGAGACGGTGTTGAGCAATGTGTCGCTTTCTCACGTGGGAAGCCGCGACACGATCCCACGTCAACATTTGCTCTCGAGGAGCGGCATGGACTAGATGAAGCCAACATAGCAGGCAAAATGACGCCGGCAGCGTACCGCCCGGCTCGCTCGGGGAAAGCAAGGATGCTTTAATCAAGCAGCACTATGCTTCGTAGGCGGCGAGGAGGGGGACGTGGAAGCGAATTTGCACGTGTGCCCTAGCATTTGGAGAAAGGGGACCGGAGGCGCTGCAGAGACACGACGGCGAATATCTTATAGCTGGAAGCAATGAGCCGGCGTCTTGCCTTGGAGCTCGGCAGAGTCCGGAACTCAACCGGAACTCAATGGCACGTTTCCGCTGTCCCGCAGGGGTCGAATATCAACGGTCATGCAGACAGAACCAGCCAAATGCTCGCAGCTTCGAAGCGAGTGTAGATATGCAATATTGGCCCAGAGAGGAGCACATGAGCCGAGAGGAGAAAAGCAAGCACACCAAGAACAAACGGTGGTTTGCTCCGGAGGGGCGAGGCGTATCTATGGGCGCAAGCGAAAGTGCCGCATTTTGGTCGTGGAAAGGCAGCACAGGGCCGTCGGGGAGGGCTCTGTTAGCCCGAGTAACAAGCGGGACCCGTCGAGAATTTTATCCACTTGACGGTCGACCTTCTCACTCCCACACGACTCTTCGACAAGTTCAAATTTGCTCTCTGCACCGGCTCGGCGATACTTGACGCAGTCCTCCACGACCGTTTTGAGCTGCTGCCTTGCCCGCTGCCGTCGCCGCCCGCACGTCAGAACCTCCGTCGACCTTGGACGCTTGCTGCTCGTCGTCGTACCTCTTTCTGCCTGCTCGCATTGCACGCCTGCCCGCCCACGACGCACTCGACGACAACGCTCTCTGCAGCCGCACGAGCGAATTTTGTGCTTGTGTGCAGTCACCGGCCACCGCCGTCTCTTCTCGACACGTTCAAGAGGTTA